TGTGACCGTGTGACCATGTGACCATGTGACCGTGTGACCATGTAATCTTACAATATATGTGATCTATATTCCGTGTGACAGAAGCCCTTTCTAGAAACTTGGACTCTATAATGCATTCAGTCATTAGAAATCCTCCTCACAAATTCCATCGTCATAGTGGAAGGACGTTGAATACTTCTCTTTCAAGAGATTTTGTGCATTGGCGAGAAGAAGGTTCTCATGTATAGAGAAGGAACTCGAATCACCTTCTTCACCTTTCTTACCTGTTTGCATCGAATCGCCTCCTCCGACATAGATCCGCCGGAAAGCTCAGGAACTCCAAACCAAGCCCACCACCGAGTTCTTCCCATGGTTTCGAACATATGCAACTGTTACCGCTTAGCTTCTCTCATCTATAACCTCTAGTCTAAAAACTTTCAGAAAACTGAAAGATGACAGCTCCAGAAATTAGGGTTCTATTCTATCCTGTAGACCGTGATTGCTTTTGTCCTCGGGTTTGGAGCGTCGGCTTACGCAATGGAAAATCTTCTCCTTGTCTAAATTAGAGGATAGAGAGAGCGCTGAGACATGAGTGAGGAGAGAGAGAGAGAAAATCGTAAGTTAGAGGAGAGAGAGAGCGCTGAGATGTGAGTGAGGAGAGAGAAGATGTGAGTGAGGAGAGAGATTACTATTTCACCATTTCATCGTTTCTTTTTCTTTTTTTTTTTTTTACTTAAGTTTTTTTTTTAAAATTTAACACAAGGGTTTTTGATCTTTTCATAAATATTTGAGGGTTTTTGTGTCTTATGCCATGTGAAAGAGTCTTTTTTGTTTAATTTTTTTTTTCAAAGGTAGTATCAGAAGTCCTTATAGCAGTCAAAGGGTATTGCAGCTATTTCTCCATATATATATGGCTTAAAACAGGGAGATATTTCCCTTACTTTTACGCATAAAGTACTATTTTGTTATTTTGTGGATCATGCCATGAATGATACAGTTCTCATTTTATTTATTTTATATGTATACTATAATATGTTATGGATGCATGCAAATGGTTTTATTATCCAAATTTTTTTTGAAACAAACGGATTCATTTGACAATAAAAAATTAATATATTACGCGATATCTTCTCGAATGTGTTTTTTTTTAATAATATCTTCGTCTTGTTGTAGTGACGATAACGCATGAGATCATGTTGTATACGCGGCGTACGTATTCGCTCATGCAGACTACGCACCCGTATACGTACATCATGTACATGCATTTGGTCATTGCTTCCCGTTTTTTGACCGAGAAAAATGTCTAAGTGCATATATATGCATTAATTTGTCTCTATGCACGGCATTAAATTATCAAAACACCAAATATACGAATTCCCCGAACGCTATATATACCCGAAGCCCCTTGCCCTCTCTTTGTTATCCATATCATATAGCCCTCTTTTTCTCTCTTGCCGTTTTTCATCAACTGCTCCCAAAAAGAAAACTTACATTTCTCTATCTCAAATCTCAATAAAAGTTTCTCGAAACTCGATTTCGCGATGAAGAACGAAAAGGGTGCGAGTTCGAGCGAGTTCTCCATGGGGAACACGGCCCAGGAAAGGGGCTTACCGTACGTGCCAGATTGTTACGTTGTTCCTCCTCCGTGTCGGCCTGAGAATTCGGAATCGGAATCGGAATCTTCAACTATTCCGAGGATCGACGTGTCTCGATTGATGACTGACGGCGAAGAACGCCGTCAAGTTGTTGAAGAACTTGCCATGGCTTGCCGACGTCTCGGCTTCTTTCAAGTAAACGAGTTCTTTTGCTTTGTTTGTTCATGTATATTATATTATATATGTGTGCGTATATATATATATGTTCATACAAGTAAATTTTATATGTTTAGTTTCATATTTTTTTTAGTACTGGCTTTTATTTTCTCTTCGTTATATAGTATTTTTTGTTGCTGACGTAAGCATGCCAGTATGCTATTCTCTGTACAATATCCGTTTGCCATTTTTGTAGTAAACGAAAAATATTCTGGACAACTCCCTCGTCCAAAACCTTGTGACATATGTATTAGTTCCATTATCTTATTTTATCACGTGATCTTAACCACAGTAACACGTGTCAGTCTGTCAGAGGGTGAACAAAAACCGGTTAAATAAAATATTGGGTTGGGTCCGGTTTCCGGTTGAATTAACCGGTTTTCCATCTGTAACCTCTTTCCACTTTAAATTAGATCGTGAACCACGGAATAAGTCAGAGCATCCTAGACGAGGCGTTGTCGGCGGCAGCCGGATTCTTCGAGTTACCGGCGAAGGAGAAGGAGAAGTTGATGTCGAACGATGTGTACAATCCGGTTCGGTACGGTACGAGTCTCAAAGATGGTTTGGACAAAATTCAATTCTGGAGAATCTTTCTCAAGCACTATGCTCACCCTCTCGACAAATATATTCACCTTTGGCCCGGAAAACCCTCCGGTTACAGGTATACCGTATGCTTACATGATATATTAATTTGTCTATATATATATATATATATATATATAAATTCACCTTGTTTTATATCGTGCACCCATGTCACTGATTAGATCATGCATGACCATATATATATATATATATATATATATATATATATATATATAGTGCATATAACACATTAATTGCATGTAGGATGCATTAGAAGCCGCGTATGTTCACACATACACAAATGCATTGCGGTGCCTTTTGTCTGATTCTTTGTTCATTTATTGATCACACCTAATCATAAGCGATGCTCAAGGAAACAAAAACAGATATATACGAAAAAAAATATATCTTTAGAACTAGTTTGAGCTGTTTTGTCCATAGCATCTATTCGAAAGATTTATATCATATGTTACATATATATAGGTAGCATATATTACACATATATATTTGTATATATGCGCCTGTATATATAGCTAGCATAGGCATGTGGACGTGTAATTACATCTATATGCAAACACGTGGACGCATGCACGGGTGCCTTGGTGTGATTCAGGGAGAAAATGGGGAAGTTCTGCGACCAAGTGAGGAAGCTGTCCGTAGAGATAATGGGAGCCATCACGGAGAGCCTCGGGCTAGGGCGAGACTACATGTCGTCTCATATGGGCGAAAACGGCACGCAGGTCACCGCTGTGAACTGCTACCCCCCATGTCCACAGCCGGAGATGGCGCTAGGGCTGCCGCCCCACTCCGACTACAGCTGCATCACCATCCTCCTCCAGAGCTTGGCCGGTCTCGAGATACTCGAACCGGAGGCTCACGGCGGTGGATCGCCGTCCCTAACGTCAAAGGTGCCCTACAGGTATGTCCATTAATTATTGTCGGAACTCGATATAAAAAACTAAATGTTTATTATATTTTTATAACAAAAAACTGAACGCAAATCGAATATGAAAATAATGAAAATTTTAATTTTTTTAGAAAATATTTTATTATTAAAAACCAAACTCTAATGGATATAAATATTCTCTTAGTTAACCGGAGGAAAATCGGATATTAACCGGATTCATATGTACTAATTAACATTTAGGTCCACGTGGGAGATCACGTTGAGGTACTAAGCAATGGGTTATATAAGAGCGTGAACAGGAACACAACGAGGATCTCAATCGCGAGCTTACACAGTTTGGGTATGGACGAGAAGATGACCGTACCGGACCGATTGGTTAACGATCAAAACCCGGTTCGGTACAGAGAAAGCAGCTTCAACGATTTTCTTGAATTTCTTGCCAAGAACGATCTCGCTCGAGGGAGGAGGTTCATCGACACTCTCAGGATCAAGAACTGAGTGGTACGAAGCATGTATTGGTCAAAGAGCGTGAGTCAAGTTGACCGGTTCGAATCGCTTCAAGTAGACCGATTCGGTTCGATTCGGTACGAATTTATGGTTCCGACTATTGTCCTTTTTACGGTTTTCGACCTCTATGTGAGACATCGTGGATATATAATAGGACCTAGGGAGCATATATGTTTATCTTGTAGTGCTATATAATTACTCAGAATATGGACGCATCCTTTGTCTCCGTTTCGGATTTCCTTTATGTAATAAAAATATTTTATTACTCAACGGTTTAATTATTGTTAATTATACACGCGTTTATACTTAGGTGTGTGTACGTTTGACATGTAATTTCCGAAAAACATATATAAAATGGACATGTTTGAAATAATTTAGGATTCCAATCGAATACAAACAATATGGTCCAAAATAGAATGAATCGGTCCACACACATAAATCAAAACTAATAAAATAAATATGCAAATTATTAAAATAAAAATTAATATAGGTGAAAAAACACAAATTAATACACTAACTTGGAGGAAGAAAAAAACGGTCCGCTATTTTAAGTGATATATATATATAAATTTGAAAGAGTCCGAACTCCGATCCAAATGTACCAAAGCCAGAGGCCCTAAATTCGGTTTCAAACAAACAACAACAAAAAATTAAAAAAGAAAAAAAAGATTGGAAACCGAATAAAAGTCCAAATGCTCAATTAATAAATTCCCAAAAAAAATAAAAGGCGTTTCAGTTATATAGCTATTATTACCGTAAGAACGATTTTCTTGCATCGAACAAGGACAGGACAGAGAGAAGATCAAGAAGTGAAGGATGTACAGATCGGCGAGCTGGACACGTGTCTCGGAGGACTACACGGCGGCAAAGGCTTACTACGACGGGGAGCCTCCGCCGTACGAAGCCGCCATGGAAATGGCGAAGAAGGAAAAATCTCGCGCCAAGTTCGCCGAAAACGCAGTCCACGTCATCCCCTTCGTTCTCCTCGCTTGCGCCCTTGTCCTCTGGCTCGTCTCCAATCCAGGTATATATACACAAATACACACACAGAGACAAACGTATATAAGATCTGTATCAAACATGTCATGGCGTTTTGCTCCACATATATATGTGTATATGTATAGATGTGGATGTGGGGTTGAAAGGAGAATCAATTGCTGCAAGGATCGAAGGACTGACGATAGAGGGAGACATCGACAACGACAGCGACGGGACGCAGACCGGATTCTTGGGAGCTGCAGAGGTTGGAGATTCGGACAAGATGAAGCACCTTATGAAACGCCATGATCATAAGGGTCGAAGCAGACGAAATTCGAGGAAGCTCGTGAGAGGTTTCAAATGATCTACGATCCCTTTATTATCATTATTTATCGTTATTTTGGATTCTGATATTTTGATTTCGAATTATGAATATGGGACTATCGTGTTGTCGATCTTTTTCTACGATCGATTTGGTTCGTATTAAACGATATAGGAGAAGCGCTGGTTTATTTTAGGGTTTCCGACACAAGAATGGTGGAGAAACTGAAGAACTGGAACTTTCAACTCATTTGTATAAAAGCAGCAGCAAAACTTTTTGGATACATAGAAATATATCCCTATGAAACCTATGATAACCAAACTATCTTTTCCGGTTCGGAACCGTCTTTTTCCGGCTCAGTCCGCCTGAGATGGAGGTATACCCGTCGGTATATACCTCGGAACCGGTATACCGGATGGGTGGACCATCTGAACCGGTACAGCGCTCGCGTACCGAAACACTTGAGGAAACATACTTGGATTCCGACACTGATTCAAAACGTTGAATTGCGCAAGACCCTGTTGCAAAATCACTCCTTAGGAGTTCTATATATATATATATATATTCTTGGAAATTCAACAAAGCTCAAGAACAAAAACCCTCTACCTCGGCAAGAGTCTCTGGTGTTGGAGGAGCAACAGTCCAAGCTTGATCAGTGTTGTTCCCTTCCTGTTCGACAAAGACAGAAACACCAAACCCCTTACTCAAACGATGCTGAAACCGCGACATGACCCATCGTCATCATCGAAACATGACAGAAAACCGGGGAGATGTATGCGGCTTCTTGTAGGGCAAGAAAGCTATACCGAGCTGTCGTCAAGAGGGATGTCGAAGAGGCTGGCTCGTCGTTTTCTCTGATTGTTGTTGTTCTTTCTGATGAAATACTTCTGGGCATGGCTAGCGACCTGCGTCGGCGTCCTCGTCGTCACGAATTTCCTAGAAATGCCTCTCCAATCTCCTTTTCCGAGATTCTTCAGTCCGGCTAAGAACGTTCGGTGCTCCTCTACCGTCCATGGCTTTCCTGCTTAATCCCATCTAAATTCAGTGCATTTACATTGGATTTTATCCCTATATATACACTCAGTTCTACTGGATTGAACACACAACAAATACCCCTACAAACCCAACAGCTTGTGGGCGAGTGGTCAGCAGATGAGTGTAAAGCACTCAGAGGTTGGCGATTCGATTCCTGGTTGGGGAGGGGTTTTCACATGGGCTGTCCCGATCTTCTGGGAGATGTAGTTGGGCCAAAGGCCGGATTAAAAAAAAAAAAAAAACAAATACCCCTACAATTGCGATCACTGATCCAAATTGTTGAGTATTAGTATATCATAATTCAAAAGCCATGTAATGCATCTACATGTGGTACGTACCAAATCATGATTTCGCTCAAATCCCAAATAATGATCAAGTAGTAAAAATTATAATATCATTATACGTATAGTCTTAGATAATACAGAATCCATTGATATAAAGAAAAAATAATCATTTTCGTGATTATACCCGTTTTCCTAGAGGCTCTACGCTTCTTACAACCGGTCAGGCCGTCAGAATGATAACCGGGTTCATCCTCGGCGGGTTTAACGGCGAGAGACGGTAGGTTTCCCATACTGAGACTCTTCCTTAACGGCGTTCCAAACGGCGTCGGATCCGATATGTTAACGCCGAACAGCTTAACACAGGGTTTGTTAACGCCGTTAACACATGTCCGTGCGTTATGACCGTCGAGGCCGCAGCGCGAACACGTCTTCGCCGCCGTCACCATGTCCCACACTTCGATTATTTTGTACGTGGAAGAAGAGAATCTCTTGCTTTACTGTATGTTATATATATATATATAGATATACCTATATCTTTGTGTGTATATATAGGTATGTCGGCTAGTTTTGGTGAATTTCCTTTGCTATAAAACTCGGGACACGACCCACAAGATAATATTGTGTTTTTTCCTCATTTATCTTTTATTTTTTCGAAAACTTTGACCGAATTACGGCTATGGAAAATCCAGCAGAATCATCCTAATATATCAGAACCAACGGTTCAGATTTGATAGGTTTTCCTGGCCAGAGATTTTCAACCGTTAGATTATGTCCAGTTTTAATTTGATTTTGATTTTCCAATATATCATTTATCGGATTAAAATAACAATCCTAATTAGTTGCAGTTCCTTCTAATTGATCATCGGTTTATCGTTCCGGTTAGGATAAAACGAAATCCTGTCGGGTAAGATATAACCCATATTATATTTTGCATTAAATTAAAGCCAATACGTTCGGTAATTTGGATTTCAGTGGGCTCATTGAATTTTGAAAAAACAAAATCATTTAATTGTCCACGGAAAAAAAAATTCCGTATTTGTAAAAAAAAAAAAATTCCGTATATATTTAAATATTGTTATATTGAGACGAAAGCAAAAATAGGTCTGAAAATTTTGGAAACAACATTTACTTCCTTGTATTGAGATTTAATTCCCAAATTATTTGATAATGAATATATAGTAAGGAATATATTGGTGAGTCCAAACATCCCCAAGTGACATAAATGCTAATATTTTTAACCATTCCATATAGTTGGATATTTCTGCTGGAATATAAAATATCAATACCAATAATACATTGCCGAATTAAACCCCACAAACCAAATTCGATAAAATAAATAAATTCGAAGTTATTTTCTAAAATAAAATTAATCCAAACTCAAATTAACTATGAAATTAAGTTAAAAAATTAAATAAAGAATTTCTTTAAAATTGATGTCATTTTAATAGAATCGAATAAAATATAGTTTTAAAAAATAAAAAAAAATCAAAACCTAAAAAAAATTAAAGTAAAATATAATCTAAACCCTAAAATTTCTTTTACTGCATTCTGCAATATTTCTGCATTTTTTTTTCTCTTTTAACATTTAACGAAGTTGCAAAGCAACTGGTTTCGTCATGATTGTAAATCCAATAAATATAGAAATATATAATGATTATATATATATATATATAACATGATTTTGGGCCTTGGATTTCGTCAGGAAAATCTTGTTTTCCTAAACGCTGTACATAGATTCAGAGCCTGTCCTGTCTGGAATATCCGAAAAATTAACATTCTTTCATTTTGTTGTGTCCTTTCCTTTAATTAGGCTTTGAACTTGAAACAGAGAAGAAACACGACTGTCCAAATTCAACACGTGCGGTGTGGCAGGAGCTGCTGAGGATTTACTTTTGTCGTTTTCTGTAAGCTCCTTTTCACTAGGGGTGGGCACGGGTCGGATACCCGAAAAAATCGAGAGATTTGGATTCGGATCTGGGAGGCTCGGGTATTTAACTATAAGATTTGTATCTGGGATTTGGTATTTACGAGTATCCGGGGTACGGGTATCCGGAATAATAGTCGGGTACTCGCGGATATTCGGATCCGGATTTATTTAAGAAAAACAACAATATTCATATATAAAATTTTTAAAACATGAAGATATATTTATAAAAATTGATGAATTATGATAAAATATATAAGAAAAAAGAGATAATAAAAGACAAATAATAATAAATTTAATTTTTTTGAATTAATATTAAAAAAATATGAAATTATTTTATCTAAAATAATTGTATTTTATAAAAATGTTATATAAATATAAGATATAATTATTTATAATCATAATAGGCGGGTACCCGCGGATATCCGGTTTTAAAAATTCTATTATCCGGATTTGGATCCGGATTCACGGGTATTGAAAAATAAGGATTTGGATTCGGATTTGAAAATTACGAGTACCCTAAAATCGGGTACACCACGTCACACGTGTGGCTTCCCATGCATTTTTTACCGCTCCTGTGCATAATTAAACACTTTTCCCTTCGTAATTCCGTTTACATCTGTATATAATACGGGTGCTAAATACTCTTCATCGCGATGGTTATTCGAAAACATATTGTTATTCATATTACTATTAACTAGTGATTAACAGATTATGTTTAATAGTTATAATATGACGTGATAAGGTTAGCGAGTGGATTAAAAAGTGATTAAGGTTTTAATCAGATAGACATGACAGTTTTGCTCATTGATACGACGTTAGAAGACGCCAGGTAATTAAGTAGGCAACTATCCAATCAAAATAAAAAAAAATATATATATATATATATCGAAGATATATCTTTTTGGTTAATTTAATTACATTAATTACCACGTATTGGTATTATAATCAATATGACATCTAAAAATGGATATACGTTGTAAAACTGTCAAATTTCAAATATTGTAAACCCACAATTAGCTAGTATCAAGCGGTCGAGAATATTCCGAAGTAGTTAAGTAATATATTTTTCTACGTCATCAACGACAACACATGACGTCACAAAACAATTACGAATAACATCGTTTGTATTAAATGGTTAAAAATGATATAACATATTATTAATAATAAAAAAAATGAAAAAACATTCAAATTCAAAACCCTAAAAATTGGAATTTTTAAAATAGTAAACATTAGTAATATTTTAAGATAATTTTGAGATTACTATTAACATAGAGTATTTTTTGTTATAAATATTTTTTATGTTCCGGAAATACGAAAATATGGTATATTAATCGAATCCAATATAAAAGTTCAGAAATAAATGTTTGCTTGTGAATAAATCAGGGAACGATGTATTGAACCGATAGATTAAAAACACATCGAGTTATATGACAGATAAAGAGAAAGAGGGAAAAAAAGGTCCTCATAAAAAAAAATGATGTAAGACAAAAAAAAAAAAAGACGAAATCTTGAAATCTTGAGATCTTGAGCGACAAAACAAGTAAAAAAAGTCAACAATAAAGAAACAAGGAACTCATGGATACTTCTTGGTCAGATCCTGGAACCTAACTTGAACCCTCCCCATGTCTGTCCAATGCGTATTCCTTTATATACCTCTTCCACATCACTCCCTCTTCTCCACTCTCACGCACAGATACGCACACCTATACACCCATACACACACAAATACACAAAAAGATTAAATAGTAAGGGGCAGAAGATGGCAAGTAACGAAGAAGAAGCCGTAGCCCTTGAGCTCATAAGGCAACATCTCCTTACAGACTCATCTACTCCCATGGAAACGGGTTTTGTCTCAAATTTTACCTTTAGTTGTGAAACTTCTACTGCTACAGAATCCAACCCATCTCAGATTTTCAATCAAGTTCAAAACTTTCACCAAGAAACGAGCCCTAAAACCCTAAACCCCACAAACCCTAAACCGAACTCGACTCGTGCTCAACGAAAACCTTCCTTGCCGAAGATCTCCGTACCGAGAATTGGAAACAAGACAGAAGAAGAGGACGTGAAGCACTACAGAGGCGTGAGACGGAGGCCGTGGGGAAAATTTGCGGCGGAGATAAGAGATCCGAACAGGAAGGGCGCGAGAATCTGGCTCGGTACGTACGATACTCCCGTCGAAGCCGCGAGAGCCTATGACGTGGCGGCGTTCCGTCTGCGCGGGAGAAAAGCCATCTTGAACTTCCCTCTCGAGGTGGATACCACCTACGAAGGCAGAGCTGCGGCGGAGGTAGGGAAGAGGAAGCGGCCGGAGAGTTTTTCTCCGACCGTCGAGAAGTTGGCGGCTAGGGTTAAGATGGAGGAAGAAGAAGAGGGAGAAGAAGGGAATTATGACACGGTGGAGATGACGGCGGATAAGGCGCCGCCGTTAACGCCGTCAAGTTGGATGGGGTTTTGGGATGTCGGAGGGGATGGGATCTTCAGTGTACCTCCGTTATCTCCGACGTCCCCAAATTTCTCCGTTATCTCCGTTTCTTGAACTTGGAAAAGTCAACGAGTTGATGATGACGTGTTCGGTTTATCATTTTTCACCGTTTTATATTGTTTTATTACTGTAATATATATATTAGGGTCGTTGGAGGTCTGCCGGAAATTATTTTATTGTATTTATTATTTTATTTGTTGTAATATTTTTTTTGATGTTTACGTAGAAGTTTTGTATTCGCTGTTGGTGGTCGATGTATCATATATGAAATTTATTATTCGTTTTCTTATGTCAAATCTTAATTAGTTTGTCTTCCAATTGTCATGGATATATCACACACATATACATGTATATATACAAGCCTAACATGAATATGTTAATATTTTGTCTTTTTTAATTTAGAGCAAATATGAAGAGATAATATAGAATAAGATATCTATTATTTACTTTTCTTGAGCCATCGCATAAAATAATATCAAATACGAATACAAATCCAAATTGGACATAAACAAAGAAATTGGATTGTTTAAAGATTGACAAAAGGAGGAGGATTTGGTATTTGTGGAGCCCACCAAACCAAAGTCAAGTTGCTTCAAATCAAATCTCTAGCATGAACAGAAGATCCCTACATTGTCTCCAACTTGACTAAACTTCTCTCTCTCTCTCTCTCTCTCTCTCTCTCTCTCTCTCTCTCTGCGTGCGTATCTTAATAATTTTATAACCCATATCAAATTTTAATTCAGGGGAAAAGATATTTGTCATTGAGTGAATACCTGATGTTTTTTTTGGCAGTGTTTGCAGATTAAAATCACATGTCAACCATCATGGATGGTCCAAAGCAGACATTATGAAAAATAATTATGCGAGCATGCATGCATGCATGCATGTAGATAAAACGGTCGCTAAGGGGAGTCGTCGCCATCAGGAAAAAAAAGGCAAGTTGTGAAGAAACGAAAATTAAATTCGAAGCAGATTGTAAAGCGTTGAGAGATATTTCACTTCTCCTGTCATGTCAACACTTGACAAGCTGAACATCTTTCTGTTTCTAATAAATGTTCAATGGATAAGAATGAGATCCGTGAAAAAAAAAGAAAATCATATATAAATATCCCAATTTTTTAAATATATAAATTGTTAGTGTGATATAATTGATATTATAAATATTAAAATATTCTAAATTTATATTTAAATATGAGAATATTTTAAATTGATATATAAAAGATTTATATATAAACAAATTTTTTAAGATGAGATAGATCATTTTGTAAGAATGAGTCGCGCTATCGTAATGTTTATAATAATTTATAAAAAAAAAATTAATAATTTTTCGATTTTATGGTTCGAAATTAGAAATTATAATCGATTTTATAAATTGCGATATTAGAATATTATGGTATTTAGCGTATCAATTATATAAATTAAGAAAAACGTTGGTATTTATTTGATATATTTTAAAAAATTGAGATATGATTCATATGATATTTTTTTTAAAGAAGAAAGAAAAGACAGCTCCAAAATCAAATGCAGAGAACCCAGGAGTGTCCCCACGTCTGCGGAACCCTTTGTACCTGCATCTTTATATACGAACAAGATCGCGACTTCTTTTTCCTTCAGACATCGCCGATTTCTTCTCTCTCATCTGTCTTAATCTGAAGAAATGGCCACAGTCGAGGAGATCTCCACTTTGGAGTTTATGCAGAAGAATCTCTTTGAAGATTTCAAGATCCCCGATGGTTTCATGGAAGATTTCGACTTCGATTCTTCTTCTCTCTCCGATCTCTGGTGCGTAGAACCAGTGAATCCAGTCCCTAAACAAGAACCTGATTCACCTGTTCTTGACCCGGATTCATCATCGGCACCTGTTCTTTCGGACATGAAGACATCGCCTCCCGCTCAGAACGAAGCGACGAAGTTGGAAGAGACGAGACATTACAGAGGCGTGAGACGAAGGCCGTGGGGGAAATTCGCAGCAGAGATTCGGGACCCGGCGAAGAAAGGGACGAGAATCTGGTTAGGCACGTTCGAGACCGATCTCGACGCCGCCAGAGCCTACGATTTCGCGGCGTTCAAGCTCCGGGGAAGGAAAGCTATACTCAACTTCCCTCTGGACGCCGGAAAATACGATGCTCCGGCGAATTCTGGCCGGAAAAGGAGAAGAAGTAACGGCGGTTCATCGTCTCACAGGAGTTTGTCATCATCATCATCAACTGACGACGATACCATTAGCGACGCATAGTAAACTCAAGATTCATATCTACGAGTTTGCATATATATATAGATCAAGAAATGTGGAGACTAGGGACGAGAAATGCATATATCGAAGTGAGAGTTATTGCAGCATCAATGAAACATCTTATGTTGTTATTGCAGCATTCATAATGTTCGGAGAATATTATCAAGAATCAAAGAGTGTCGGCTTAAATTTCGAAGAAGTATACCAAGGTTCGTTATATCATGAACCAGGGATTGAGATGATGAGCAAGTTGCATGATGGACCACACCAGTTTAAAGAACCCAACAGCAAAGGGCTGTGGTCATGGGGTCGGGTACAAAGTCCACGTTCAATGTAAGAATCTGGGCCACACTCATTGCTGACGACGAGGTCCTTATGGTGGGGCATTCGGTTCAGTTACTCAACAAAACCAAACCGACCCGTAGTCGAACTGAATTTCATAAAAACCGAATTGTTATGATATTTCTATAATCAAAATACTGAAATCGAACCCAATAAAAAAGATAACAGAAAAAACTGTAATTTAAAAAAAAATAAATTAAACAGCTATATCATTAAAACTGGACATGAATCCAAACCTAATTGTAAAATCCGAATAAATATATATTTTATAAAACCAGAAGAACTGAATCCAAATAAAACCGAACCAAGAACCGAAATGACCATTATCAACAGCAAAGGCTTTTTATACATAAAAATCGTTAAAATAGTCAGAGTTCTAACACTCCTAGAACCAAAACAGACAACACAACAAACTGATACAAGAAAACATTAAAAATCTTAAATCAGATCCTCACCCGTCGGAACTGTAGTCGCTGGACTCAGGCAGAGGTGGAACGGCAGCGCAACAGAAGGAGTCCTTGTCTTTGAGGAGGAGACAGCTTCCATCGAAATTAGGGTTTTCCGGTAAAACAATCAAAGTCAAGCCACTTGTACCTGAAATGAAAACGTGTCCCTGATCACGAGACGATAATCATTGGCCACGGCGATGTAACGAGAGTTAGGCGAGAAACAGCAAGGACCCGTCTGCTTGTAAGCTTCAGTGAATTCCATATCTGAGAATCGACAACAAAATTTCCCGACCAGAACTCTAGACAAATAAATGCACTTGACATCGGAAATGGAGAATCCGGGGAGAGGATTGCTTACGCAGTATGAGCCCGAAGGAGTCCACATGTAAAGGTGAGAGCTTCCAGTGCAGATTACGAGACGGGTGCATATTGGGTCCCACGCAGCGGCTCTTACGGGTTCCTTCTGGACCAATATGGCCGCGACCTCGAGCCGGTGTATATCCCATATCCATAGAGCGGTTGGCATGCTGTCGTTCCGTGTGCAGATGTACTGACTGTCTTTGCTCCAAGCAAGAATCCCTGAAAATTGAGTTTATATTATACCCTGTGAGCTATGGCATTATAAACTTGGATTCAGTTTTCAGTTAGGCAGGGATAACGAACTCGCTGCTTTTTGTGATATAGGATTTGATCGATGTTGAAGTTTGATTCCAGCCGATGCAGTAACGTTTCGGAGAATACAAATTTGGAGGTAAGAGGGATGGAGTTTTACCGATTCCTTGTTTCGGGTTAGGCTTGTCAGCAGGAGGCTTCTGGAAGGGAAGGGTTAAGGGTAACTCCATGACTTCGTACCTGACACTTAGATGGCCTTCTGGTCCGTCTGCTTACAGAAACACGGAGACATATTGCAAATATGGGACAGAACTTTCAATACAAAAGATGTACGCATCTACTATCAAACAAGTGTTTTTGGGACTGCAGTTACCATAATTGCTTGGCATAAAGTTGTCGTCCAATGATAACTCCGACATATCAAGCTGTAAGGGTTCATCAATTTCCTACAAAAGAATAATGACAAAAAGGTTAGAGATATGCGTTGCCAATCAGGGTTTTTTGCTGGCTGCCAGTAATTGGAGAAATTGCAGAAGCAGCTTACCTTGAAAATGGCAGCACGACAAGGTGCCCGTACTGTAGATAGGTGCACAAACTCAGCAAAAGTTTTCCAAGTAAGGTGATTCAGAATCCGCAACATCTGATCATAGCTTCCAATGGCAAGAAATTGACCACATGGAGACCATGAAACAGTTTTCACACCCAGTCCACATTCATATGCTTGGTACTTGAATAAACATCGACCATCTGGTGAGTAGATTAGAACCTGTCCAGAATTCACAAAAAACTTCAGAGCGATGCCAATGGGCCAGTAAGCACTCATTACGACAGCCAAGAATGAGAGCAAGGTTGAAAAAAAAGCAAGATACCTTGTACTCAAGAGGCGAATCCCACACTATGATAGAACTATCATCAGGTGACCATTCAAGGTCGGCTAAGTCTACGGTGTCAACAGCGAAGCTACCCATTATTTGCCATGATTGACAGGACAAAAGGTTTACATAGTCCTTGCAGTCACGCCGTATACAGACTGCAGCAAATTTCCCATCCCGTGTGAATGCAACCCCCTTCGAGCCATGCTTTGGCCATTGAACATGAACACAAGCCGTATTCAAGAGAGACCAAACCGTTAATCGCAATTGAAATTCTGATGTCGTGAGAATGTGACGGCTGTCTGGGCTCCACCTAGCATATGCGATACCTGCCGGACCTTCATCAATCTTGCACATCCATTCTGGCTGTGCCAATGACCAGGCCTGAATCATCGGTCTTTTATAGAGGCCGCAGAGAATGTACTCGGAATCAAGGGCCCATTCTATGTAGCTTATCTTATCTAAGCAAGAAAACAACTGCACAACCTGCATTCGGGAACACACTCATTACTTTTGTAGATAATATTTCCAGGAGTTCAGTGCATACAAGATAAACAACTTAGTCAGTTGAAAGAAAACTAATGTCACGTATCAGATAAGGTTTTGAGAATCAAAAGGTTTATCAAACACTTTTATGAGCTTTAACTTCGAAGCTGAATCCCTTATGTCTTACAAAAGACCAGGACATGTTAAAATTCATGATTTGTCTATCAGATCAGTCCAACCTCGATGCCGAATCACCATATGCATTCGTATATACTTTCATGATTTTGTCTACCATGCCCAATACAAGAAATGGAATGAGAGAGAGGGAACAGATATCAGCTTATTTGCCCAAAATTACAGGATTAGCACCAGATTAGTGCAAGCATTGTCTTAATCTTCATCGTTCATCACATATCTAATCCGACCTTTTTCCCTAAAGCGATCCTATTGGATCCAACAAACCTTCAAACCCAAACGAATACAATTGATAAGATAACTTCAGGAACGCAATCAATCATTTTCTCGGGCTCAATCGCGAAACATGATAAGAAGCGAAAAAAAAATGCTTAAAAAGGGAAAGTTTTCGAGAATATACGGAACATTTCTCTCCACATATAGTTATCAAGAAGAAAGTAGCTAATTAAGCATAAGATCTACTTGCATTTGAAAATCAAAGAAAGTCTAAGATCCGAAATCTCTTGCAAAAAAACTACACCATTTCAGCTCAAAAAACCCAGCAAAATTAGGGTTTTCCGGTAAAACAATCAAAGTCAAGCCACTTGTACCTGAAATGAAAACGTGTCCCTGATCACGAGACGATAATCATTGGCCACGGCGATGTAACGAGAGTTAGGCGAGAAACAGCAAGGACCCGTCTGCTTGTAAGCTTCAGTGAATTCCATATCTGAGAATCGACAACAAAATTTCCCGACCAGAACTCTAGACAAATAAATGCCGAAAATCTGGGAGAAGAAGCTACGCTCCCCGATTCACGGTGGTGTTGGAGCCATGATCGACGACTCCCGGAGAAAATTTTCAAAAATTTTGAGAGAGAGGAGCCGTTTCGGATCTCGGGTCCAAACTGGGTGGGTACTATTTGCTTCGTGTTTCGGAATACAGCTTTATATTGGGCCGAGGCCCAAATCATCTACCCGTTTGAAGTCAGAATGACGATAATACCCATCTCCATTGTTCAAATTCTCGATATACCCACAAAAAATGTTACGTCATGCCGTTCTGGCGAAAAGAAATAGCACATCATGCCGTTCGTCTGAAATACAGATGTCGCTCCTGCTAATTTAATTTCTGTTTGACGAGGAAAACGTTTGATCTTCCCCGTAATTAAATTTTCTAGATTAACAATCCGAACTAAAAAACCAAAATCGTAATAGAATAAAGGGCATTCCAAAAAAAAAACACTGAAATTTTTAGTTTGAATAGAAAAATACTAAATTTTATTTTTTTATCAAATAAATATTAAAATTTTAAAACGAATTTAAATAAACACTGAATTTTTTAAATCATCCAAAAAAATATATAAATTTTTTTCTAATTATAAAAAACAATGAACTTCTTTATTGATCTAAAAAAGATCTAAAAAAAATATACGAATGATCTAAAAAAATATATAATTTTTTTTCAATTATAAAAAAAATTAAAAAAAATAATCTGATGTGTTTGCATATCATCGTACCATATCAATCATTTTATTTATTTTGACAATTGTTAAAGAATGTTTATTTTATCAAATTTAAAAAATTTAATATTTATCTTATAAAATAAAAAATTTAATATTTTTTTTTTAAATTTAAAAATTGTGTTTTTTTGAAATTTTCTCTTTGGAATAAATAAATAAGAAATTTTTAATTTTAATTTTTTTTAAAGATGTCATTTTCGTCGAGGAACAAGTCAAGAAGTTCAGACAGATTCCATCGAAAAGCTTCCTTCTCAATCTTCGGACAAAGCTGAAACACGTCCCAATGGTGTTATAAATCAGACCAGAATCTCTCCTTCTACCCATCAAACCCTAAAATCCCATCTTCTCAATCACTCAAATCTTCCTCGGAGAACTTCAGGTTCAGCCATGTCTTCAGGCTTAAGAACAAGGAAAAGACGGCCAAGAATCTGCAGCACTACTTCTTCTTCTTCTGTTCCAAGGCTCTCATCCGCTGAAACAGTAGCGGAGATCGATGATCTCTTGATTCAGATTCTCTCCCTTGTGCCCATCAAAGCTCTTCTGAGATGCAAATGCGTATCTAAGCGCTGGCTTTCGCTCATCACAAACCCTAATTTCTCCTACCACATCATCAGTTCCAAGCCTTCCGTAGTCTCTGGCCTTTTCCTTCGCCGTAACAGCTTTACATCCATGGAATACGAGTTTCTGAGTCTTGTTCGTGACGACGGCGACGACAGGAACTCGATCAATCGTTCCGTCTCCCCTCCTTTCAAGTCCCCGCTAAGGCTTTCGGATCATCCCAGTGACATGACCATTCTGCAGTCCTGTAATGGTCTTCTCCTCTGCCAATGTTCTTGTCCCAACCATTACAACCGAAACTACTATGTTTACAACCCGACCACGAAACAGAGTACCCTTCTCCCTCCCATCAACGGCCTCTCCCATCGCGTCGTAGGCATCAGTCTAGCCTTCGATCCCTCCAAATCGCCTCACTATAAGGTCGTCTGCCTCAGAGCGTGTGACCGTACATCCGATCTTTTCCGGGTAGAGGTCTATTCCTCCATTGCAGGGCCATGGAGACTTTCAGGCTCTCCTTTCACTCTCCCTCCAACCATAAAATTCGGGAACACAGTCTTCTGGAACAATGCGGTTCACTGGTTCGGACACTTGGGCGTTTGTGTCTCTTTCGACATGGAACGAGAGGAAATTAGGGTTCTTCCACTTCCTCATCTTGATCCAGAAGACGAACAGGACATCAAGCCTTTTAGTTTGATGGATGAATCCGGCGGACATCTGTATTTCGTCGAGGTTTATGACCCGAGTTCTTCACAGTTCTCGGTGTTCAAAATGGAGACAGACGGCTCGGGATGGTCCCCGAAGTACAACGTCGATCTCGAACCAATTGCAGCCGCCTTTCCAGAGATGATCAGTTCTGAATATTACACAGACGGAAGCGTTTTTGAATTCTCAGTGATCAGCATTGTCAGGGAAGAAGATACAGCGGACGATGATGATGCTTACATCGTCATGTGCATACCTCCCGACAAGGTTATAAGATACAACTTCAAGGACAAGACTTTCGAGGAACTGCACCAGTTAAAGCAACATCAAGATTCTGACTTCTATGGCATCCATGGATCCTTCAAGTTTGTCGAGTCTTTAGCCTGTGTCTGAAGCAAACCATAGATTCGTCTCTCCCTCTCTCTTGTGTTCTTGGAAAATTTTCGGTTTTATGCTGTATGGATCTGAGAGCAAGAACTCTTTTATCTTGTATTAGCAAAATAAGATTTCTTAACCTCTCTCCAGATTCTTAATCAAGATCAAAGCTTCCTCAAATCTTCAGACAAGACAGAACATGTCCTAATCGGGTATTAAATCCGACCAGAACCCGAAATTCGATCTTCTAGATCCAAGAAATCTTCTCCAGAAAAATCGATCCATGTTTTCGGGCTCAAGAACAAGTGTAAAAAGAAGGGCCAGAACCCTGCAGAAGCTCTTCTGGGATCCAAGTGATTACATTTCCATTTCCAGGCAAAAAACTACCGAATGAATCTCAGTTGCTCTTCAAATCTTTCAAACGTTTCTATCGGAACCCGACTAACAAAATTAGAGCGTAGCTCTTCTATCGGAAAACTGTTACTTTTCCTACTTCCTCGGGCGAAAAATTTACAGACTTTTACAGCTTCAAGAATCAAAATCAAAACCTCTTTTTATGCGACATTGTTCCGGACACTATTTCCCGACCTCTTCGAGCTTCCTCAAGACATGCTTGATGCTCGGCCTGAGAGAAGGCGAAGGAGAACAACAAGACATGGCCAGCTGAAAGCACTTGAGAACACATTCTTCGGTAACACTGTTATCAGCATCCTTCAGGTCACTCCTGAGAATCTCGGGTCGGTACAAATCCGACAACCTATGATCAAGAACTGAGTTCCTCATGAAATCGGGAAGATAAAACTCATCATCGCCCGTCGGGTTCTGGTTTATCGGCTCCTTACCCGAAACCAGTTCAAGCATGATCACCCCGAAACTGTACACGTCACTCTCCTTGCTCACATCTTTCATCTTGATCAGCTCAGGAGCTTTGTATCCCTCTGCAGCAGAAGCTTCTAGAATCTCCTGGCCCGTGGCTGGATTCAGGAGCAAATGCAGGCCGAAATCCGATACGTGAGGCCGAAAACTCGGATCCAAGAGGACGTTTTTCGATTTCAAGTTCCCGTGGACGATGGGTTTCTGCATTCCTGTGTGTAGATGATCGAGAGCTTTGGCTATGCCGATAGTGATTCTCGTAATGTTGCTCCATTTGTACGACGCAACATCTCCACCTGCCAAAATAGTTGAAATATGATCCAGAGGGCACGAAAAGGAGCGGAATTTAATGCACTGGAGATCAAGAAACCAGATACATGCAAAGATTCCGACCAAATTGTGAATATTTTTGGGGGGGGGGAACTTGGCAAATTCAAGAAACTGCAGAAAAGTTACTGATTTTTACTTTGGATTCTTGTTTCCTTAGCGTTCGAAGTGAACAAAAAGAGCAGTGGAAAGTGAGGGGAAGGGATAAGGTGCCGGCAAAAGACAGATCAATAATGCAAAAGAAAGATGGAGGATTGTAAATGGAAGATGAGATGAGAAAACGCCCATTGAAGATAATAAATATACGAAATCAAAGCGGCCATATCATTTGCTCATTTATTTACTTTGTGTATATCCTTTTATTTATTTTAATAATGTTTGAATTTTTTTTTTTTTTTTGTAGTTTTTCAGATTTTACAGTGACGGTAAAATTCTTTTCAGCTGCGTCAAAGAGTTCTTGTTTTCTTCTTTACACTTTTCCAGGAAACAAACAATCTCGCAATTTCTGTTTGTTTCCCGGGAAACCCCAGAGATCAAGAAACCCACGAGATTCCGCAGAAAAAGAGAAGACAAACAGAAACATGTGGGCTTCGGATTTTGGTTCGATTCGAAGCAGCTGGAAGTTCGTTTCTTTTCTTTGTTGGGAGAAACATGAGGAAAAAGAAAAGCTATTATCCTCAATCTTTGACGGCTTTTCCCGCATTTTCTCGGAAACCAAACAGAAAAGCGAAGGGGGTAAGTAAACAGAGACTTACTTCTGATGAACTCAGACAGGTTTCCGAAACCGAAGAACGGATGAACCATCAGCTTCTCTCCTCTCGTTCCGGCATAAAACCCTAACAAAGGAACCAGATTTTCGTGTCGGGCGAATCCCAGCGTCTCGATGACGCCGTTAAATTCCTTTGCCTCCGATCTGACCGCACAAATAGGCCTCAAGAACCTAAGAACCCTAACTTTGCCACTTCTCTGCAGCGACGCCTTGTACAGAGTCCCGAAGCTGGATTTCCCGATGACTTCTCCGGGAGCCTCGAGGATGTCGCAGATCGTGAGATCTTCGCCGCCATGGAAAGTGACAAGCTCTTCTGCTTCGGACCCATTGTCGGAAAACTCCTGCTTCTGGTCGGGCGACTCGACGTTGGGCTCTCCAGACTCTCTTCTTCTGCAGATGAAGATGATGACTACGGCGGCCATTCCGATCGAGAGTGCTGGTAAAGAGACGCCGAGGATCAGCTTCAGCAAATGGGTTCTTGTCATTTCATGAAAATTTTTTGTTTTTCCGGCAAGGAAAAAAGTGGAATCCGGGTGTTGTGTAAGAGACTGGTAGCTCAGAGATTCTGGGAAAGTGGAAAGTTGGGTGTTGCGTTGGACGCCGAGAATTTGTAAGATTTTAATGGAAAGTCTGTAAATTTTGACGGAAAATTCGTTCTTTTTTTTCTTCTTCTCGTTGGTTGTGAGGGTGGGGAAAAAAAGGGTAAGAAAATTATGAAACTTTTCGTTCGTTCGTTCGAGAGAGCTACAAACATATATATATATACACACACATATATATGTAAAAGTATCGCAAGTATACCTTAATCCCGTAATTATCGTCTTCAAGCATCGTCCTTTTCCTTAATTAAACCAAAGTTGAGTTAATACCATATAATATATGGTTTTTCTCTATATGTTACGTACTTATGATTTATTATATAACTATGCATGATCTATTCTTTCGCAGACATTTTACCAATGCATTCATATATATGTCTATATTGAACTAAAATCTGTAAAAAAAAAATCATAAAAAATTGTTTGAATAAACAAAGATCGAGCAAATCTTTTTGTACAAGTTTTACCAAAATGCCCATGCTTTAAGCATCTCATTTTATTTACGCAATATACATGCTGAACAAGTATTTCGTATTTCAGTGAATTATTATTATTATTATTATTTAATTTAAAGGGCGTCGATAATGGTGATGATAATTAAATGTTGGGTTTGACTAGTGATGGTAGTTGGAAGTGGGGCACATTGGGATTCTGATTGGATGTTTTAACCGGCAAGTTTAATTATACTAATCATTTTAAATTACTTATTAATGCACATATCCGCTGTTAATTATATACACATTTGTTTATATATTGACAATATCGTGAAAAAAAATCAAATTCATTGCAACTTGCGAGACATCGGTCTCCTTAATTTGGTCTATTCATTTATTCTGTATACAAATTTCTAGGAATCTTTGAAACCGTCCTATTTCAATAGGTCAAATAATATATATATATATATATATGTATAGTATTATGTTTTGATGTTCATTTAATAAGCTATTAGTGTATAAAAAAACTCACGACTTCAGGGATATTTAATAATGACAACTAAATATCATGGCTAATAATTATGCCCTTGTACAAATTTAACCACTCCGATTAATGTAATTTTCGATGAACCAAAATTATATTAAATAGTCTATACTTTTAAATGAATAGCGTTGGACCGTTTGGAGATTTATTCATTATGCATTGGTGATTCATATATATAATTTATTTTGATTAATTCTAAACTTTATAGAAAATAAATAAATGAAAACAGATTCGTTTCGTGAGTGCCGAAAAGGTTTCCATCTTAATTATTAAAAATCTTCATATAAAAAAAAATAAAATAATGCGAGAGGTCGACACCACGATTACTGGTTTGGGATCGGACGGTTACGTGGAGGTTGATTATGTGACTGAAAGGCAAATCCAACGGCTAAGATTAGATTGAGAGTGTAATGGGCCCCACCTGTCCCAGTAAACTCGAATACGAAACTTATTTCTTTATTTATTGTTGTTGTTGGGAAATTCGTTAGATCTGTTTTATTTTAATTGATACGTAGAAATATTTGATGTAACAAATACATGTAATATGAAAATTTTGTATGGTCCAACAATTACTCCATATACGTACGTATCAAATGGGGGGGGGGGACCTTCTTTTAATCACACGGAATGGGCC